AAACGCAACACGGTCTGGAAAAGAGCACACATTACAGAGGCGCTTAAAATGTAGTTACTACTACAGTTCAGGCATGATATTAACTAAATAAGAAATTTTAAATATAAATACATACTTATTTACATACATAATATGTGTATATTTATTATATTTACATAAGTATATATGAATGTAGAATGAATTTCATTTTCTTGCAAACTCAATTGGCATCACAGAGTCATTCAATTTTCTCTTATTTAATTATGCTCTGAATGCAGAGAGTCACAAATTACTTTTATCGTTTCTCTTTTCATAAGCAGATTAAAAGTTTTTGTCTCTCGCTCTGCCCCTACGCTCCTGCTTTAGGTTCGGTTCGATCTAATTTTGATTGCGCCACATTCCACCGAAGTCTCTCACTCACTCACGATCTTCGCTCTCTGCACGACTTTTACGATTACCATTTGCCGTTGTCATTGGCTCCTTCATTCGCTCTCCCACGAAACTCGCTGCGAGCACGATTGGCTGTTGCTCTGAGCCTCTCTTCCTTCTGCACATCATGCTACTTTACAGAGGCTCAAGCTAATGTTATGATAACATTTAATGTTAATCAGTCTTCGTCCTCTGCAAATGGCATGTTAAGCTACTCAATCAACGATGCTGCTGTCCGAATGGCCTAAGCAGCCGTCTCGTTCTCACTCAGTAACAACCGAACATATGTTCGGTAAGAGAAAGCACTGACTCTCTCTCTCTCTCTAACTCTCTAGACGCAAACGTAGTCAGATTATGTTATCTTACTTATTTGCTACAGCTGCAACTAGGTATTGGCAAACTTAGAGAATAAATACTTTTTACAATGCAACATATACTAAATTATAAATATATAAATAAAATATATCTACTCTAGTCACATTGACCATTTTCATAAATAAACAGCAGGGTATTATAATCAATTCAATGCGCAACAATCTTGAAAAACGGCATTAAAAAGTCTGTAAAATTAAAAACTTGGCAAATTGTTCGGTCAAATTAAAGAAACGAAAAGCCAAAAAAAAAAGAGCGAAAAACTTTTTGTGTATGACCTTGTTAGGGTTGCAAGCTGGGCGTAAGCCGTTAAGACATACTCACACACACACAGAGAGAGAAACGTCTTACATGCTGCAACACGTTGCCAGCGTCGCGTCGTCGCCTGCTGCTTCCAGTGGCAGTGCCAACATGTCGTATACGTAATGGCAGCGGAAACGTTTCATCGCGTTGCAATTCGCTACGCTGCGCTGCGTTGCGTTGCGCCTGCTGTCAAATTGTGTGCGAAAATAAAATGAGGCAAAAGAGCAAAGGAGAGAACAAACTCAACTTTTGTCAAGGACATTTTCGCCATAGTGTCTCATTATTTTTCATATTTCCTTTTAGCGGCCAAACACCGAAATAGCTGCCTGAGACATGCGCCCAAAAGACGCATAGTATCAAAGCGCCCCAAACTTGTTTCAGTTGCCAGCCACGCCCACCCTCATCATTGGAATGATGCACGCCTTTGCCATATTAGTAGCCAAGAGGCGTCTCCCAACACCAACAACAGAAACATGACAACTTTCGTCATGCCATAAGCGAACCCAATCCTAAGCCCAGCTGCAGTGATGTGCTCCGCGCCCGCCACATCTGCCTCGGGCGCCAGTGTTGCATGGAGTTTTTTTTTTTATTTTTATGTTCTTGTATTTGCTTTGTGGTCGTAGTTGCCTGACTTGCTGTTGCCATATGCTGCACGGCAAAAATATCAGCGCTTACCATTGACGCCTTAGGCTTATTATAGCAACAGAGGGGCAAAGCTGCGCTGCAACGTCACATAAATATAACAACAATAAAAAAAACCAAAAAAAAATGGTAAAATTTCATTAAAAGCAGCTCAAGGTCTGTGAATGCAGTTGTCAAAGTTTTTTCGTTTATTTTCTTTTTATAAATTTTTTCTGCGTTACCAGCGACAAAACTTTTTAATGGATTTTGCGATAATATAGAAAACCAAAACTTGAAAATTGTTCAAAAGCTTTAACGAAGTTCAAATACACTTAAGCAATTTTGGGTCCTGGCATATTTGATTTTAAATTATCAATTATAAGTTGCTTAGTGAATAAATGAAATATTTATTGTGCTCTATAATTTAAATGTCTCAATTTTCGAATATTCTTTGGCTGTCTATTTTTCATTTAATAAATATTAAGTTTTAATTATAAATAAATTATAATAAATTTCTTATTACAACTAACTAGGAAATTAAAGTTTATATTCTCAATTCAAGTGAATTGTAATAAAAATATTTATGTAATAGCTTTATACTAAATACCATATCTCTTAAAAAAAAAAAAAAAAAAAACAAGCATAGAGACATATATATTTTCACAATGTGCGCTGTAGCACTTTTCCCATTTTGTGGCAATTTATATGAATGTGTAAAAAATGTGTGAATTATGTGACTGCTGAGTACACAATGTCAATAAACAAATAAATCAATTCAATTTCATTATAATTCCATTTATTTTGCGCTGCTAGCAAATTTATTGAATTGCTAACTCCTTTATCGGGCCATAGAATAAATTTAAATTTGCGCGCCCAGTGGAAAGGGCATAAATTTATTTATCAGTCTGCAGTCAGTTCAATCAGACGACAATTTGTAGCTTTTAGGCGCGAGCTGAGGCAGACTTTGATATGATTGTTATGGGAAAGGTCTCACCTACATCAAGTCTACTTCAGGGCAAGCCAAATGGAGAGCCAACTAAGCAGAGTTTTGCATATTAATGCCGTTGCCAGCAGCATAATCACAGAAAACAGAAGCATCAGCTCAGCTCAGCCCAGCTCTGGCCTGCTGAGGGGAGATGTGCGAAATATGCGAAAAATCTTTGCAGGCAGCTAAGGTATTATGCAATTTTCTCGACATTTATAAATATGCGCCATATTTGACAGGTGCATTAACGAAGTTTCAGACAGGCGCCCAGACAAAGGGCGTCTGGATAAAAAATGATGTGAGTAGGAAAGCAATTTGCTTGATTATGTAGAACAGTTGACTGATGGCATGGCGTGGCCGGGCCATAGAGAAGGGATAAAGAGATAGCACGCCTCGCTTGGTTGAGGAGCGTAAGAAACCGGGAGCTTCGAACTGGGAATTGCGAACTGGGAGCTGGTAGCTGGTAGCTGGGTAGCTCGAATTGGGTGCGCCCTGGGAGCAGGCGGAACGGAACCGCATCGAATGAGCAGTGGGCTGCATAAATCGCTGACGCTTGACGTTCCACAGCTGATCTGTCGCATAAGTCATGTCAAATTACACGAGCATCAGACAGTTAGGGGCCGCCAGGGGTCAGGCACTGTAATGCGCGGCACTTCACTAAACCTCACAAGAGAAAAATGCTGAAAAATCAATGGAAACCAAGGAAAAATCACAATCAATTAAAGGTAACAGGTAAATGTTGCGTTGAATTTCTTTAAACTGTTATGCACTAACAGTAAATTGGAGTCTGTTGAACTAAGACGAGGCAACATCAATTTATGTGTATGTATGGGAGTATAAAGATATGGGAGTATATATATGAGACTACATATATATATGAGTAGATATATGGGAGTATTCATATGGGACCATCTGTATGGAGTATATATATTGGAATATGGAAGTATTTCATACATTAGTTATTAAACACAAATTGTCAGTGTTGGAAGAGAAAAAGAGAGAGATAGATCTAGATATAGAGAAATTAAT